AAAAAAAAAAAAAAAAAAATGCAGGAACAAAGAATGTGTTGGGTTTAAGGATTTAAAATGTGTGCCTGACCTAGGACACCTCCTTGACTGACCCCATGCCTGAGGGTGCTGGGTCACAGCTGCACTGCACTGTCTTTTCCCATAAACTGACTCTTGCGTGTGAAATACAGTCCATACGGACGAACCTTTCAGGAGCTCCCGGTGAAGAGGAGTCCCGGATCGAGCACTTGAGAGTCCTGGATTGGAAATTCAGGAATGTCTAGGGGTCTTTATTATTCTTATTTCTGCCTCTAGGTAGTGGGCCCCAGGGCAGAGGTTAGAGGGATCGGCCCCAGGGCTGGCCCGGGTTCGAGTAAGTGAACAGGAATGGACCCATAGTCCCTAACTGTACCATCTATATTAGGGACCTCGGCACACAACCTTATGAATATACGGAGAAATTACTGGATCATACATTTTTAAAATAGGACATTTACTGTTCTTTAAAATATTTTCGATTTTAAAGAGGAGATGAGGCGGGCCGGGGATGTAGCTCAGCGGTGTTTGTGCCTAACTTGCAAGCGGAAGGTCCCGAGTTCGATCCCCGGTCTGGGGTGTTGGGGGGCGGAGTGAGGGAGATATAAAAGCAGGTCGTAGGGTGGATATGATCAAAATATAAACACTGAACAAAAAAGACATGTGAAACTAGGGGCCGGAGGTTTAGCTCATTGGTGCCGTGCCTGTCTTGCAAGTACAAGGTCCTGAGTTTGATCCCTGGTGTGTGGGTGGGGGGTGAAACTAGAAGGGAGGGCGGGACAAGGGGGGTGCGGAGGGCACAAATGACCCAGGTAGTCGTGCTCCTGCGTGAACTCGCCAAACTGAAACCCATTCACCTCTATCACCGATGTGTGATAATATTTTAAAATGTGAAAGAAAAGGAAAATGAAGATCTGGGGATGTAGCTCTGTGGGAAGGCATTTGCCTAGCACACACCAGGCCCTGGGTCCATCCCTAGCACTGCAAATACGTTACACATACATAATTTAAAAAATAAAACTGCCAAGGGTAAAGGCTGGCGGGAGAACTGCTCCGGAGCATCACCCAGATCACCACTGAGGCTGCCGCACCCCGGTTCCCTTTCCACCTCCCCTTTCACCCCCCACACTTCTGTGGTCTGAACCCTGCCCCCGCCCGCACCTGCTTTGTGGCCTCGCTGGGAGGCCCCTCCCATCCCGGCCCCTCCCCTCTGTCTGGCTCAGCTGTTGCGGTCCAGTCGGTCCAGGAAAGGCGGGCAGGAATGTGCCGAACGTTGGTACTCGAGGGGCAGCCCTTGCACCTCCCTAGTAACCACCAGGTGGGAGGGCACAGGGTGTGGTGCCAGCAGCTCTGTCTAACCCCCCACCCCAGGGCTGTTTGTTTATGTTGTGGTTGTCACCATGGGCACCAGCTGAGGCCTTACTTGCACAGGTTATGTCCTGGGAGTTTGTGGACTGGGGTTGGGGCTTTCCTCCCCCAGGGCCTCTGTTTCCACAGAGAGCAAATTAATCCAGCGTATCCCAAAATACTGTGCAGCCCAAAGGGATCGGATCCAATCTTCCTAACTCGTGGTGGTTTAGACCAATTTTTTTTTAACACAAATAGGCCCCTGCATCTCCTCAGAGCTAGCTTTGAACAAATCCTCTCTTCCTTTTACCCAAACATATGGCCCGAGATCAGGAGCCTAAGCAGCCAGGGACACTTCCTTTCATCAGGGGCCACTGGCCATCAGGGTGACCCCTAAGCCCTGGTCCTCTGCCTGATTAGTGTGGAAACTCCTGGAGCAGAGGCTGTGGAACAGCCCCGCGGTACACCAGCGGGATGGGAAACCACCAGGGCTTACTCGTAGACACATTACCTAACTTCTCTGTGCCTCAGTTTGTCCATCTGTAAAATGGGCCGGACAATAGCATCTGCCCAGCCCCAGTGATGCTCTGACATCTAAAAGAGGTGATTCTGGGCCAGGGATTTAGTTTCTTTTCTACATTTTTTTCTTCCTTTTTTTTTTTTTTTTTTTTTTTGGTGGCACCAGGGATCGAACTCGGGACCTTGCGCTTGCCAGGCAGGCAGTGATTCTGCCTCCCGCCTCACAAGTGCAAGGTTCTAAGTTCGATTCCCGGTACCAAAATATTTAAAAAACAAATAAAAGAAGTGATGCTGTTAGAAAGAGACCAAGCATGTACTACCCTACCTGCCTAATATACTTAGTAATCACAGCCACATGGGTCGATTTCAAGTAAAATTAATTCAACTCAATCTTCAGGTCTTCAACTGCTAACAAATTTCCTGCGTGACAGTGGCTACCGAACACGTCGAAGCCAGGTACAGTCCTCACAGACCGTCCTACGGCCCGGCACCGTGGACAAGGTGATGTGTGCGTGTGCTGAGTTCCTGTGTGCTTGTGTCCGGGTCAAGAAACATGCTTGGTGATGTCTCCGAAGGCCCCCAGCTCCTGGAGGGCCCTCAGCCCTCTTCTGGGCCCTCCTCCCTCCCTCCCTATCCTCTGGCGTGGCCAGAAGGGACTGGGGCACCTCGCTGCAGAGGGATTAGGGTGAGAAAGGAGACGGGTGAGAAACCAGGCGGATTAGAGCTAATGAGAGGGCAGCAGCGGAACCCAATCTCCGCTCGGCCCGCTGGTCGGGGAAGTGGGTGTGGAGAATTACCTAACTGCTCCCCACGGGCCAAGCGGGCGCCCCAGGAGAGGGCAAAGGCTGGAGGCGGCCCCCTTTCTCCTTCTGGACCCAACTCTATCAGGGACCTAGACCGAGGAAGAGGCCAGGGCAGCGCCTGGTACCGACCCACGTCAGCTCGCCTGAAGCGGCCCCGAGAGCCTGGAGTAAGGCCTGTGAGAGCCCAGGGATGGAGACAGGACGCCCCGGGTACGGAGAGTCTTAGGCACAGTGGCCCGGCCTAGCCCAGCAGTAGTTTGAGTCCATGAAGATCCTCTTCGGGACCGGAACGTGAGAACGTGGTGACCCCTTCCTGACACCTCTCTCCTGGAAGAGACTGATCCCTTAGACACACACAACCCTCAGCCGTCTGTGTCTCTCACGAGATCATCCGCCCACCCACATGATGATGGCCGGGCCAGCAGGGACAGCACCCCTTTATAGATGAGCAGGTGACCTCTCAGAGCTGCCACCCTAGAAAGGAGGCCCCATGGGAAGTGGGGAGCAGGGCTGGACCTGGCAAGCTCAGCTAATGGTGGGGTGTCAGGCACGTGAGAGAAATCAGCAGACAGAGCGGGCTTCTGGGCCTCCCTGCTCACCTCCCACAGATAGGCCACCGGCTCCTTCCCTCCCAAGTGGATGCCCCTCGGCGATGAGCTGCCTGAAGTCCCAGCCAGGGCGTCGGCTCGGTGGTTCCTCTACCTGCCTCGCAAGCAAAAGGGCTTTGAGTTTCAATCCCGGGTACCAAAAAAAAATCTCAGGCGGTGAAGCAGACCCTCGCCAACCAAGGCCGTCAAGTTGCCCACCTCACCCTTAGAGGAGCTGTCCCAACAGGAGATCAAAGTCCCTCAGCCATTAGAAAAGAACACATGGCCGGGGATTTAGCTCAGTGGTTCTTCTCCTGCCTCACAAGCACAAGGACCCAAGTTTGATCCCCGGTACCAGAAAAAAGAAAAAGAAAAAAACACAGCAGGGTGAGAGATTAAGCTCAGGGTTCACCAGACCTCGTGGACGCTAGACAAGCACTGAGCTATTCCCCTGGCACCAAAAGATACCTTTTTTGGTTACTCTCTCTCTTTATTCCTAGTGTGATACTGTCTCACTATATAGCTTGCCCTGGCCTTGAAGGCGGAACCCTCCTGCCTCAGTCTCCTGAGTGCTGGGATTACAGGCGTGTACCATCATGCCGGCCTGAGGACATATTTTGAGTTCTATTTTCTGCCTCTGCTCATCTTCTTTTCTGTATGGACCAAAAGAAATGGAAATGAGCCTCCCTAACTCCCAATAAAGTGAAGGAACTGTTTCCTCTAATAAATGTGCTCTCCCTAGCTACCCTGTGGTCAGACCCCTGCTCACTGGAGCTGGGTAGAGGAGTGACCTTCGGAGAATCATAGGTGGACTCCCTCCAGTAGTGAGCTGGGAGACGGTTTCCGAAGGCCTCCTCCCCCAAACTCCCTCTTCTCCAGGAAAGTGGTCACTGGAGGCCTGCAGGCGCTGGTGGGCTCTCTACAGGCACCCGCTCTGGGCCGCGGGGCCCTGCAGGCCGGCCCCCTCCCCTCCTGGCTTCATCTGCCAGCGGGCCTCTGGCTCTCCCTTTTCACCCACCGGCCCTCCTGACCAGTTGCAGAGCCAAACACGGGACCTCACTTAATCCCAGTTATGTAACGTGCAATCCAAACATTTGGCCCAGGGGAGGCACCTGGGGCCACACCCCGACAGAGGCAAAAGGCCCCAGCTGGCTCTCGGCGGACAGACTAGGCTGGACCTCCGCTCAGCGGCAGCCACCCCTCCCCCTGCCGAGCCAGCACCATGAGCGGCCGAGTTGGAGACCTGAGCCCCAAACAGGCAGAGACCCTGGCCAAGGTGAGAGCCCTCCTTTCGGGGCCCAGGGGAACAGGGCTGAGAAGGGGTGGCCTGACCTCTGCCCCACTCTGTCGACTCAGCTTATTTTCGATGTTGTCTCTTTACTGTCACCTCCTGAAGGATCAAGTCCCACAGTGACATCCTCACTGCCCAGGACAGGGGTTGAGGATAAAGCACCAACTCTGCAACGGTGTGGGTGATGCCTACCCAAGACCAAGCTTGACTTCTTTTTTTGTTGTTTTTTTGGTTTTTTGAGACAGGGTCTCACTATGTAGTTGAGACTGACCTGGAACTCACTATGTAGCCCAGGCTGGTCTTGAACTCACAGCGATCCTCCTGCCTCAGCCTCCCGAGTGCTGGGATGACAGGGGTGCGCCACCACGCCCGGCTGGGCTTGACTTCTCACCCGGGAGCCTGACCCATAGAGCTTTATCTACAAGCTGTCCCCACTACCTCCTCCCCTCTAGGCTCCTAAAGTGGGAGCTGAAGGGTGTTGCTGGATTGTTCTCTGACTCTGTTCCCCTCCCTCAGACTAGGCAGGAAAAAATGTGTAAGGGCCAGGCCAGCCTGCTGTCATCCCCACAGTTAGTGGACAAGAGGGCAAATGATCCCTAACCGTGATCTTATAGAAAATGGAACGAAAAACGAAGACGTCCTGGCGGGCAAACACATAGAGGGAACTAAACTAAAATTCCCACACGGACCCCGCCTGACCGTCTGTCCTTCCTCAGCGCCCGCTCGTCTTCTCGCCCATCCGTGCACTCCTGCTCTCCTTTTTCTTCTGCTCTTCTGCTCAGTTCTCCTTCTACCCACTCACCTACCTTCCATCCATCCACCCACCTGCTGATCTCCCCTTCCTTCCTCTCTATTTTTATTTTTTCCTTTTGGTACCGGGGATGTAACTCGGGTCCTTGGGCTTGAGAGGCCGGCGGTGGAAGCGCTGAGCCGAATCCCCGGCCCCTTCCCTTCCTCTTTCTATCCGTCCACACACCCGCTCGGACGTCCCTCGTTCTCCTTTGTATCCCTTTGCCACCAGCATCCTCCATGTTCCTCCCATTGTCCAGCAATGCTCTCTCCTTCTGCCCGTCCTCCATCCAAGTGTCCAGACCACTTGGGGAAGGCGAGGGGAGGCCACGGAACAATCCCAGAGTCTGCAGGCTCAGGCTCAGTGTGAGAGAACCACTCTAACCAGCATCTCTCCCCAGTTCCGAGAAAATGTCCAGGACGTGTTGCCTGCGCTGCCCAACCCTGATGATTATTTCCTCCTCCGCTGGCTCAGAGGTGAGGGCAGAGTGGAGGAATTCAGACGGATGGGTCAGTGAGAGGGGGGGGTCCGTGGCTCCAGAACGACCTGAGGCTCCCGTAAGCCCGTGGTCTCACGTTATGAGTTCAGGTCTAGGGAGGGGAGGGGACAGAAAAGCAACGTCCTGCTCTCGGCCCCAGCGTCCTCCATAGCTCCCACTTACAAGGGGCCACACGAAGAAACTTCTATCTCATGCATATCCTTGCATCTTCACACAGCTCGGAGTTTCGACCTGCAGAAATCGGAGGCCATGCTCCGCAAGGTGAGACCCATCTACCCTGGAGTTTGGGACCAGGCCTCATCCTCATCCTCATGCCCCTACGTCCGTCCCTTTGCAGGGTGCTGGGGACCCCCTGGGGCCTTACTGCTCCTTCCCTTTGCAGTACATGGAGTTCCGGAAGACCATGGACATTGACCACATCCGTGACTGGCAGCCCCCAGAGGTGAGCCTACTTTCCTAGGCACCTCAGTCTTCCAAGGACAGTAAGAATCCGTGCAGCCTCCGGTCACTGGGGACCAGGAGTCAAGGGCAGCAAGGCTGGGCCTGCAGGCCCTCTCCTGCACCAATCACACTTTCCTAGGGCCTTTCAAGACTCTGGCCCAGCTTACCGTTCATAGCATGGGCTCGTTTAATAATAAGAACGTGTGGGTGGGGGCTATGGTTCCCGTTTGACAGCTGAGGACTCGGAGGTTCAACAAGTTGCCCAAAGCCCTGCAGCGCTAAGATGGGGCTGGCATTTTCTGTCAGGCCTGTGGAGCTCCCTGAATCTGGGTTCTGAACCACCACTAGGGGCTCTGTGCTCCTCCCCCTTGGGGCTTTGCTCAAAGAAAGCATCCCGTCCCGGTAAGAAAGAAGCAGCTCACCAAGGCACATTAAAGACAGCGCCACCACTGGAGTCACGAGAGAGAAAAGTTCAGAGCCACATGTGTGAGGCTAGGAACTGTGCTTTCCAACATCATCTTCGGTACTTCCTCCAGCAGTCCCAAGTAGGAGGAATTACAAACCATTTTATATAAGAGAAGGTAGAGTGGGGCTCAGAGAGGTGGTCTCACTTGCATAAGGGACACACAGCAGGGAAACAGCAATGGTCGTATTTGAACCAGATTTTTTTTTTTTTTTTTTGGTTTTTTGAGACAGGGTCTTGCTATGTAGTCGAGACTGACCTGGAACTCACTATGTAGCCCAGGCTGGCCTCGAACTCACAGAGATCCTCCTGCCTCAGCCTCCCGAGTGCTGGGATTACAGGCGTGCGTCACCACGCCCAGCTTTGAAGCAGATCTATTGACTTTCAGTATCCACGTTCTCCGTCCATGCAAGGGGACCCAGGAAGCATTAGGAGCAGAACCAGAGAGCTCAGAGGCCTTGAGCCAGGCCCAGCTTGAGACCCGGCTTCTCTACTTACCTGACATGAACAAGGCCATCCCCGGGAGGACCCTCAGTTTTCTCCCTTGGGACAGTGACGCCCCGTCTGAGGGAGAACCAGGGCTTTGTACCATGTTAAGAGTAGGCTCGAGTCCCAGCTGTGAGCCCGGCCTGGGGGTCTCTGAGGAGGTGTATGGTGCCCAGCTGTGCATATCTCTCTGTACCCAGGTAATCCAGAAGTACATGCCTGGGGGCCTGTGCGGCTACGACCGTGATGGATGCCCTGTGTGGTACGACATCATCGGGCCACTTGACCCCAAAGGGTTGCTCTTCTCAGTCACCAAGCAGGACCTGCTGAAGACCAAGATGCGGGACTGCGAGCGCATCCTGCACGAGTGTGATCTGCAGACAGAGCGGGTGAGGCCCAGGCCAGGGGCGGCTGGGGGTAGGAGGAACGGCCCGGGGACACGGTCAGAGGACAGAACCGTGCTCTTCCCTGCTGTGGTCAAACACCAGGCCCACTGTTTGCCGGCAGCGTGGCCCAGGAAAGCCACCTCGCCACTTTGTACCTCTGATTCCTCCCCTGCAAAGGAAGGTGCTTGTGAGTAGTGGTTGCAAAGGTTACACGAGATGATAATGCAAGTACGGATGCTCTTCAATTTACAGTGGAGTTGCATCTTCATGAAGCCCCTCCCCTCGTAAGTAAGCCGGTAGTGCACGCCTGCAATCCCAGAACTCTGGGAGGCCAAGGCAGGAGGATGGCAGCTTCAAACCCAGCCTGGGCTACTTAGCAATTTAGCAAGACCGGGACTCAAGACAAAAAGATAAAAAGTCTGGTAATATAGTTCAGTGAGAAGGCCCCAGGTTCAAGCCCCGGCACCTCCAAAAAGAAAAAGAAGAAAAAGTAAGTCAAAAAGCATTTAATATACGCAAACTACCAAATATCAGAGCTCCCCCTAACCTGCCTCAAATGTGCTCAGAACCCTGATATTGGCCTACAGTTTGATGTCACGAGAATGTTCTATTGTGTTTCGCTACCATGGGGAAAAAATAAACATTCAATAGTTCAAGTATTGTTTGTACTCAGTACCTGTCACATCTACACCACTGGAAAGTTGAAAAGTCATTCAGTGAACGCAGCGTAAGTTGGAGACTGACGTAAAGGGCTGAGCTCAGGCACCAAAAGCGTGTTTCTCGGCGCTGGTCGTTACGCTCTCCTGTCCCTCCTGTAGGTTTCACACTGAGATGTCACCTTCTTGGAGGCCTCCGTCTAGATTAAATCGCCGTCTCCTCTGCTCCCTCAGCCCCTGTGGTGTTACGTAACAATACTTATCCCTGGACTCAGAGGTCCTGGACGCTTAGCATTTCCTCGATCACATTGTAAACTCTTTGAGGAGAAGCATTATTCATTGCACTTTCAGTGTCTGGCACAAAATACGTGCTTAAGAAATATCCGTAGAGTAAACGGAAGAATGAGTGAATGAAAATGTGAACAGTTGGATGGGTACGTGTCTCGATGGGTAAACTGCCGTAAGGACGAATCCAAATGGGTGGATGGCTGGATGGATGGAGCAATGCATCCACTTTTGTCCACTTACTCCTCTGAGGACCGAGGAGGCGGACAGGGGAAGTTCATGGGAGTCACGTCCTTGGGGCACCATCTCCCAAGCCTGCACTCTGTGCCCTAGAACTGTCCCTTGTTCATCTTTGCAGTTAGGGAAGAAGATCGAAACCATCGTGATGATATTTGACTGTGAGGGCCTGGGGCTGAAGCACTTCTGGAAACCTCTGGTGGAAGTGTACCAGGAGGTGAGGAGAACACCACAGACCACAGACACACATGTGCGTGCACACACACGCACACACTTGCTTAGATGACCAGCTTGGCCTGCTGTGAACTTGCTGCTCATTCACAGCAAAAAATGGTAAAGGAGAGCTGCTTTCCTAGACCCCTCACAAAGGCCCTTACTATGTGTCCCGGAAGATCTCACAGAAAAGGCCTCAGAGACACTACCCTGGGACCATAAGAGCCACTTTTCACCAAGCCTTTTCCAGCCCTGTCACCCCAAGCTCTGGGACTGGGGCAAATCACTTTACTTCCCCATGCCTCCGTTTCCTCACCCCTAAAGCGAGGATTGTGAAACAGAGACATTGCTTGGCAAATAGTGACTTTTTAACAGAAGTCATCCTCACTGTTATATTACCATTACTGTAGTATTTACTCTGAAAATGACTGTTACGTGATTATTATCAGGGTGTGCTTCTAACAGTCTGAGGTGATACAATCCCTTCAGAGGCCCGAGGAGGTGATGGCAAAAAGGAAAACCTCTCACGGTTCTCCGAAACTGCCATACAGGAGCTAGCAAAGGAGATGGGGGAAGGAGAAACGAAGTTTGGGTTCTGATGGGGTCTTTCTTGGTTCCACAGTTCTTTGGCCTCCTGGAAGAAAATTACCCAGAGACCCTGAAGTTCATGCTCATCGTGAAAGGTGTGTAGCAAGTGACATCTCTTATCTGTCCCCCCGCTCCCTCACCTGTGCCCAGAGGACGATGATAGTACCTCTGTCCTGAGGCTATTGTGAGGCAAGTTGGTTGCTTGTAGATCACCTAGACTATCTGGCACAGAGTAAGTGCTCAACAATTGGCCTTAGTGCAAGAGGAGAGAAGCCCAACCTCAGTCCTTCTGGGAATCCCCTTTGCTTCTCCAAGTCACAATGATTCCTCCCTCCCCAGGCTGCCTTTGGCATGGGCAGCTAGCGCAGTCCAGTTTTGCCTTTCCAGTCTGCTCCTTTCTGGGGTCTTTTTGTTGTTGTTGTTTATTTGTTTGTTTTTTGCTTTGTTTTTTGAAACAGGGTCTCACTATGTAGTTGAGACCGACCTGGAACTCACTATGTAGCCCAGGCTGGTCTCGAACTCACAGCGATCCTCCTGCCTCAGCCTCCCGAGTGCTGGGCTTACAGGCGTGCGCCACCACGCCTGGCTCTTTTTGGGGTCTTCATTGTCTTATGTATTTTCATTCTGTTTCTCTGACCAAGTTGTGTGCTCCTTGAAGGTAAGGGCTCTGATTCTTCCCTTACAGGCCTGGCACTATGGTAGATGCTGTACAAGTATTTGGGTGGTTGTTATTTAGATAGGTTGGTAGAGGAAAGGATGGATATATATTTGACAGCTGACTGGTTGGTCAATCGGTTGTTTGGTCCATTGATTTACTGGCTAGTTGATTGCATCACTAGTAAACTGGTGATGGACTAGAGAACTGGCTGGCTGGTTAGTAGGCTAGTTTTTAGCTTGATTGACTGATCAAATGGTTGGTGTTTTGAGTGATCGTGTGGACTGATTGTTTTGGGTTGACTGGCTTGTTGGAAGGTTGATTCGTTGGCTGGTTAATCTGTTGTTTGGCTGAATCACTGACGGTTGGATCTCTGGATATTTGGATGGACAGATGGATGGATAGATGGATGATTGAGTGGTTTATACTGGCTTGTTGGAAGGTTGATTCGTTGGCTGGTTAATCTGTTGTTTGGCTGAATCACTGACGGATCTCTGGATATTTGGATGGACAGATGGATGGATAGATGGATGATTGAGTGGTTTGTTAGCTGGACAGGGCTGTTGTTTGGATGATTACCTGGTTGTTCTGTTGACTGGTTGGTTTTCTGTTTGGCTGACTCATTAGATGTTTGTTTGACTACTCTGTAAGTTGGTTTATTGACTGGCTAAAAGAAGATAAATAGCAGACATTTGTTGGAAAGTAGGCTGGTTTGCTGGATCTCGGTTGGTTTTTGATAGACTAGCTGGTTATTGGTCGACCAAGCAGGTGGATGATTAGAGCTGGATGTTTGGCTTATTTGTTGGTTGGGTGGGTGGTTGATAGACTGGGTGATTGCTTTCTTGGCTGTTTGTTGGCTGGTTGGCTGGTTGGTTGGATGGTTTGTTGGATGTGGGGCATTGGAAATGGCCAGAGTTAATAATGACTTTTCTATGTCACTGGCAGTGACCATTATGAAAGAGTAGCCCAGTGGAATTCTTTTCTCCTCTTTAACTATATTTGTATCTCTCCAGCCACCAAACTGTTCCCTGTGGGCTACAACCTCATGAAGCCCTTCCTGAGTGAAGACACCCGCAGGAAAATTATAGTGTTGGGAAGTAAGTACCATTTCCAGCACCATTTCCTCTGCCTGCATGTGCGCTTTGGGGTGGGGTGGGCCCATCACCCATCAGAACTTGACATAGCAAGTCACAGGTTCCTATTCCCAAATGAGGTGACTCTTACGCTGTAGTGTGTATCCAGTTACCTAGATCTTATTCTCTGCTGCACCCCTTTAGTGGATCGGGCCTCTGCACCTACCTCTTTATCAGTTTCAGCTTAGTCATAGTCCATCTCTGGTCTATGGGCCTCAGTTCCATTTCGACATCCGTAACCCCAGTGTTTCTAAAGACAACTTGGGTTAAGGAGGATGAAGAAAATCAGTGAGGAGTGTAGCTATGACTCAGGAAGGGAGGACCAACAGAAAGGACCGGATGAGGAAAGAATGGTGCCTCCATTCAATGAACTGTAGGAAACCATGAAAAATAATGCTGTGCATGAATATTTAATGTCATAGGAAATGTCATCAGGTGAAAACGTAGATTTAAGGCCGTGTAGACTGAGTGACCTTGTTTTGTAAAAACGACCCATATAAAAAAAATGTAAGTATTGCTAAGCAGAAAGACAACAGAATATTGACTTGTTAATGATGAGAAATCATGTGGTTTTTAATATCATTTGCAATTCAAATTTTTTAAATTTTCTAAAATAATAATAATTAATTTTATAGGTAGGGAAAATAATAGCTATTTTCTTAAAGTTACAGGATGAGTGAAAGAAAGAGGAAAAATAATTCTTAAACCCAAATCAACGACCTGGAGGTTGGAGGATAACTTCTCCCAAGTAGAATGGTCAGATCGCAGGATCAGGAAAGACTAGGGATCTGGGTGGGTATGTGGGTCTCACAAAACACTCACCTTTTTCTCCCTGATACCCAGCCTTCTGGCTCTACCCAATTCCACTAGAGGGGAGCTTAATGGATAACAAGCTAGCCTGCATTGAGGGCCCTGGTTTGGTAACACCCCAGAATGCCCGAGTTTTGCGTAGGGTTTAAATAACAGTGACAGCCATTAGGCACTAGGGCGGTGATGATTAGGAAGGGAGAGTCCCCTCCAAAGGCACAGAGATATCCACCTTCTAACAAGAGGTCTGGCTTACTCAGAGTGAACCCAACAAGGTCCCTGACCTCGTAGAGCTTTCAAGTCTCCTTGAGACAATTAAACAACTCTTAGGTTTGCTCCCTAGAAGTTCACTACTTGTGACTAAGAAATCTTCCAGAATATGCATACCCATCAGCCAAGGGGAAACACATTCCCATAGCAACAGGATGCTGGGAAAGATACTTCCTACAGCCTGAAGTCTAGGAGGCTGAGAAATTGGCTGTGGTGGCCTAGCTCCCACAGGACTTGGAGAAGCAAGTTCAGGGCATCCTAGTAGGTGTGGGAGGCTAATTGGTGCTTTCCATACGTGATAACCACCCTTCAATCTCTCTGCTCCCAGACAGCTGGAAGGAAGGTTTGCTGAAACTTATCAGTCCTGAAGAACTGCCTGCCCACTTTGGGGGGAGCCTGACTGATCCAGATGGAAACCCCAAATGTCTAACGAAGGTACAAAGAGCCCAGGACAGGTGGTTAAGGAGATAGATGTGGGGTTTCTTTCCCAATTCATTCACTCCCCCCAGTATCCGTTGATAGTTGTATGCAGAAACGGGGTGTTACACTGGGAGCTCCAGCCCTGCTCTTGAGGGATCTCTGAGCAGCTGTGTGGGCAAACAAGAAAGGAAGAGGTTTTGAGCTGGAAGAGGAAGCTCTTGAAGGAATCCCCGGCCCAGCCTGGAGGGTGGGGAAGGCTTGGAAGGAAGGGGAACAGGGGACAGGATGAGTGGGATGTTTCCAGAAAACGGTGAAGGTGTCACAGGTAAGAGAAACAGCATAACTGGCAGCTAGGAGAGGCGAACAGACTGCTTCATCTGTGTCTGCAGATCAACTACGGTGGAGAGATCCCCAAGGCCATGTACATGCGGGACCAGGTGAAAACCCAGTACGAGCACTCAGTGCAGATCAGCCGCAGCTCCTCACACCAGGTGGAATATGAGATCCTGTTTCCAGGCTGTGTCCTCAGGTAGGGACGGACCGCTGTCTCGCCCTTCCCTGGGCCATCACCCCTCAGGGGTGCGTCAGACTGAGGAGCAACCTGTCTCCTTACAGGTGGCAGTTTGCGTCGGATGGCGGGGACATCGGTTTTGGGATTTTCCTGAAGACCAAGATGGGGGAGCGGCAGAAGGCCGGGGAGATGACGGAGGTGCTGCTCAGCCAGCGCTACAATGCCCACATGGTGCCGGAGGACGGGAGCCTCACCTGCTCAGAGGCCGGCGTCTGTAAGTCTTCCTCAGCTGGGCACTGGCTCCGACGGCAGGAAACAGAGGAGCGACACCTCGACACCTGCACCCAGGGACATGTGGCCCAGCTCAGTGCTGTTCATTCTCACCCCGAGTGGCACTCGGGCCACAGGGCACAAAGGACAGGGCAAATGTAGCCTTGCCCGTGAGGAAACTGAGCGCTGAAGTAACTCGTGCAGTGGCACTAAGCTGAGTGTGATGCCGGTGTCCCCTCTTGGCCTCAGCATAGTTGCGTAACCCTGGGCAAAATTCTGACCAACAGGAAGGATGCTTGGTTTGTCCACCTGTTGACAGAGGCTAAAATGCTTCCTCCTGGAGCTGCTGTGAGGAGGCTCCGAGTACGCAGCAGGCTGGCCCAGCACCTACGTTGCCCAGGGGCTGAGAAGACGCCGCTGTCCTCAGCCGGCCCACCTCACATACGCCTGATGGTAGCATCCGGGGGTGGATGCAGTGGGATCCAGTGACCATTGTTCTCAGAGCCCACTGAAGGTGCAACTGAAGCCAGGCTTGGGCACGCGCCAGAAGGAGGCCGGTGTCTGTTTACAGGCGCCGCTCATGGCCGGCAGTTCCCATGGGGAGGAGGAAGGTGTGCTCACAGCTTGGGTCTGCTTGGCAAACCAAACCAGGGGGAGCACGGCCCGTCCCCCTCCTAGTCGGGGTAGCGATTCAGGGAACGTGAAGCCAGACCAAACTGCCCATCTTTCCATCTGTTTCCTAGATGTCCTGCGCTTTGATAACACCTATAGCTTTGTCCATGCCAAGAAGGTCAGCTTCACTGTGGAGGTGCTGCTCCCGGACGAGGGCATGCAGAAATACGACGAGGAGCTCACTCCTATCTAGGCGGCCTCTCTGCTGCTTAAAGATCCCAGGCTGTTTCCTCTTTAATTGCCCTGCCTTCCACCCCTCACACTGATCGTTAGTCCTAACTCTGGGACATTAGTAAGTAGAGAGAAAGATTTCCTGGGGAGGCTTCATCTGTGGTGACCAAGTCAGGAAAGATATAAAAATGCACAGCGCTTTTTTTAATGCACATGACTGAAGAGGGAGAAGCAAGAGGCAGATGTCACTGAAACTCAAGAATAGGTCAATAAAATTGCCCAGCCTTCATCCCTGCCTGTCCTAAGGCGTTTGTGTGTGTGCCTCGGTTCCTTCCCTGTGGGATGGGAGAAACTTGTGTCGAGACTTCTCTAAGTCCTTTCTACCTGCACTCACTATCGGGTGGATAGTCCGAGTGTACTAAGAGTGGGGTGGAGGACCTGAACTGTAGGATAAGGGATTCAAGCGTGGGGACCACGAGGAGGGAGTTTCAGCACCTCGGACAGGAGCCCAGTGTGGCGGGAGTGGCCGTCTGGAACCCCGGGCGGTCCAGCTCCCAGATTTCCTTCAGCGGCTTCCTCTTGGGAGGCCACTCACAGAAGCTCTGGTGCCTCTCACAGGAAACACTCTCATCGGATGTCTGACTTGGGACACGTGTTTTCTTCCGTCCATCCTTGCCGCCCTCACTTCCTCCCTGTGGAGTTCACCGCTTATATATTAAGCAATTAGAGGGGCTTTCTTCAAAGTAGAGGAAGTCGCATCTGACTCTACTGCTGCCTGGCATAATAAAAAATAATCACACCTGTTGTGTGGTGAGCACTGTCTGTGTACCCGACACTGTAGCGAGTGCTGTTGGGCTTAGCTCGTTTCATCCTCACGCCGGTCCGGAGGCCGCTCATCATGGCCACTTTATAGATATGGAAACTCAGGCTCAGAGAGATACCACCTCTCGTGTCACACGGCACTTAAATGGAAGCTCCGGGGCCCCTCTTTGTTCTTTATTTACTCTAAAGGCATTGCTCTGAATTGCCCTACAGGATGCTCCTAAGACCCTACCTTTAGCAAGGAGGAGACAAAGGGTGACTCATGTGTCCTGTGTCTTCCAGTGGAAGGGCAGTGTCTTCGGCTCCGATCCGCGTTTGTAGGTAGAGGAGATAATAGGTCTCGTGGGCGGCAGTGCTCACGTGGTTTGTTCACAGAGGCTCAGGCAGAGCTGGGCATCTCTGTACCCAGCACCCTGCTCACCACTCATGGCGCCTGCGGGACCACGTGACACTCACCGTGATGCTGGGTGGCCGCCGGGGGAGAGGAGCGGGACTCAGAACTTCTTTCTCAACTTCCTGCTTCAATGTTGGGCGCACGGAGATCTTAGCTGGAGCTCTAGGTCCTAACACAGCTTCTGCCAAAAGGAGCCAGATTACACCAGAGAATGGGGATGGATGGGAAACGAAGGCTTTTGCTGGTGTCCTAAGGGCGCCTTGGGGTCATGCTAAGGCTCAGCCAGCTGGGCCTGAACCCGTCTTGGGAAGACTATGGGATCTGACTCTGAGGTCCATAGGGCAAACACTCAGCAGTGGAAAGCACTTTCCTGAGTGTACTTACGAGCACAGGGTCTTACCTCCATTTGATGGAAGGGAAACCAAGTCCTCACCCGAGGGCCCTGGCCTTCCTTCCTGCAGCCTGTGGGTGGCAGAAATAGGGTGGGAGCAAAACAGCCCACCCTCTCTTCATCCCCAGGGGTCTCTAGTGACCTGGCAGAACAGGACAAGGCTCCCTCCCTCTTCAGCTGGGGAGCAAGGGGGGCTGCGGAAGAGAGGGGCTGTGAGATCCCAGAAGGAAAAAGCGGTACTTGAGACATACTTAAAAAGATTTACTTGTTATCTGAAGCTAAAAATGAACCGATTGTCTGGCACTGGAAATGAGGGCTGACAGAAGAGGGAGGGCAGCGAACAAGGAAAGAAAGGAACAAGTTCACCCTTTTAGACCACGGTGGTAAATACCTGACACTTGAGCCGCGAGGGCGACTCAGTGTCCCTGGTGCGGGTTGGAGGAAGAGGATGGTTTTCCTCCCTTGCGCACGAGGCAGCGAGGCTGGAGAATGAGGGCGCAGACCCTCATGTCTGCCGGGTAAGGAAGCTGTGAGCAGGGCTTCCGAGGACCACTATCTGCCAGGGCTCCTCCCTTGGAGCTGAGCAAGGGTCTCGTTACCAGGAGACCAGGGCAGTGCTGGGAGCTCAAGGCCAGGACTGGAGCGGAGATCCCAAAAGTGCTCCCTTGGCAGCCACCAATGCTCAGCGGAGGTCAACATCTCCACTCTGCACCCACAGAGCAGCCCTCCCTGACTCAGCCTCCCTCAGGGACCAGACGCTCAACTCCAATCTCAAACATCCCGGAATCATCATGGTGGGGGCGATGACTTGCTTTGTAGCTTTGGCCGATACCCGCTGTACTGCTACACTAGTGTGTATGTGTATAGAAAAAGTCACCTGGACAACACAACACACTAAGTTGTTAATTAACAGCTATATGGGTGGCAGGACCATCTTGTTGCAGGGTCTGAATTTTCTAGAATGGTTCTGTGTTTTTATTACATTTGCTTGGTAAAGGTGGTCAGGGAATGAGTTATTATAACCTAGTGCGGTTATAATATATAAGCCCCTTTCCAAGGGGGGCCGGCTCATGGCTGAGTCCCTCACACCATGATTTCTTCACAGCCCATCCCACTGTGCCCCTGACCCGTCCCGTCCCCCTGTTCCCATCCCTTCATGCATGCAATGCCACTCCTCTGCTCACACAAGCCGAGAGTCCTCAGGTCTTTCTTAGCGGCCTCCCTCACCTGGCCCCAAACCGGGGTGGGAACAGCCGAGGCCCCCAGCAGTCACAGAGAGAGAGATTTCCCACTTATTTGCAAACTGCAAGCTTCCAACAGCCCAGGCTGAAAGACACACCCAGTCAAAAAGTAGGGGGACAACAGCCTGCCCAGGGGAGAGAGCCCAACCCAAAGTGCGATTTCAGCATGGCTATCTTAGCTGTGTGATGGTGGACGGTCACCCACTTCTGCCCACTGCCCAACTTCCAGATCTCAGTCTCCAGCTGGCTGGACCCTGCATCGTGGCTTCCAGGACTATAACATGGAGGGAATTTTTCCGATGTCCCCAGTCTGAAACGGATAATTCTCGTACATGAAGAAGTGTGAAACTGGACTTCCAGCAAAAGTCGAGGATCTTGACTAATACCGGCAGGCTGGGACCAGCAAGGTTTGGCTCTCTCACCTGGTCCAGCAGATTGTATGATCCTGGACAAGGGACTATGGAAAACCTTGGGACCCCCAGGCCCGGCTGACAGTTATCCTCCACCCACTGAGCGCCACAGGGAGAAAGCGAGGTCTGCCTGTGACTCTCACACCACCAGCCCAGAACAGGCCCGGGAGTAAACTCTCCTCCTGGTTTTCTCTTACTCATGAGTATTTTGTCCCTGCAACACTGGTGTAGAACTGCAACAGACTGGAACCCTTGGGTAGCATCTGCAACAGGATTCTAATGAGGTTACAGTTAAGGGTACAAAACTGTGTTTGCCTATACGTAAGAGAAGTGCTTAAGAAAACGGGGGGGCATCATCTACACAACAGCACATAATCGTATCTTTTGTTGGTTTGTTTGTTTGTTTGTTTGAGACGGGGTCTCACGATGTAGTTGAGACTGACCTGGAACTCACTATGTAGCCCAGCCTGGTCTCGAACTCACAGTGATCCTCCTGCCTCAGCCTCCCCAGTGCTGGGATTACAGGTGTGCACCACCAGGCATGGCACATAATCCCATCTTATAAAACATAAATTTAACATACACTCAAGTGTCGATGATTCTCTGGGTTCCAGGATTTTTGTTTTCTAGGTCTGACTCAATAAAATGGGCCTGGGAGGGGAAGAGGACCAAGAAGAAAGCTCTAGGCTTCCAGCAGGGCCTGGGGTACCTCTGGACTCCCTGTGCTCGACCACTACTTCATTACTGAGCACAAAGCCTTCGTGCTGTACCACAAGCTCTCATCACATTCCTGGCCACTGCTGGGGATTTAGCTCAGTGGTTCCACCACCTGCATCCCCGGTACAAAAAAAAAAAAAAATTAGTGGGCCAGACTTGGAACCTATGGACAAGCACCTGGGGGCAGCCATCAGCTACAAGTAGGAACCGGTTTCTTGGGAAGCCACAAGAGGCTCACACTATGGGACTCTTACTCTGAAGCCACCTTCAGGAGCATCCGCCCCATTTCTAACTAAAGTCGGGGCCCAATGCAGTTCACTTGATCAAAGGGCAGATGTCACAAGTCAGCTATGAGTGGCCAGATGCTAAGGTCACTGTGGCCACACCAAAGGCTGTCTCCTAGACGGTAAGAACAGCCTATCCTCTGTCAAACACTGGCACTGTTGAGGGGGCAGAACCCATAACCCAGCAAGCTCAAGCCAGGTCACCAAGGTCTACCTGTAGACACAACCACTTCGATAACAACTAAATGTCACCAAATAAGGAGGCGGAACTCCGCACCCTGGTCTACGCCAGCCGAGCCGATCCCAGCAGAGCTGGGGAGGGTCCCTGCTTGTTAGCAGATGCCTCCCTCCCTCCTCTCTGCTACTGTGGCAGCTGCGTGGAGCCCTGACAGAGGACAGGGCTGCACAGCCTCTGGAACAGTGCAGACACAGGCTTTGGGTGCCCACGTGGTGGTCCACGTAGCTCCACTTAACTTGTGCTGGAAGCGGGCTTCTGGGGTTGGCCGTGAGACTTCCACATAGGAACGCATCCTCTGTCCTCAGTGGGGGAAGAAGCAAAGGACTCCGGGAAGATCAGGGGTACCGGGAAGGGGGCCTGAGTTTCAGAGAACACCCAGAGGAGCAGCCCCCGGGCCATCAGGAAGTGGACCTCCTCCTGTTTATATCCCCAGGACGCCAAGTCCAGTAGGCAGGGGTGGTAGCTGTCCTGGAGGGGTCCTGAGTTCGATCCCTGGTACAAAAACAAAAGCAAAACATTAAACTTGCTTGAAGATAGGTTAGACAGAACTCTTGAAGACACTGGCATAGGAAAAGATTTTATGAACCAAACTTCAGTATCATGGGAACTAGCACAAAGAATCAACAACTGGGATCTCATTAAAAAGCTTCTGCACATGGCACCAGGTGTAACAATTCCCAATTTGAAACTATACTACAAAGCCACTGTGATAAAAACAGCATGGTACTGGCAAAGAAATAGGCCTGAGGATCAATGGAACAGACTGGAAGACACAAAAACAAGTGCAGATGTACTCAGCTACCTCATCTTCGACAAAGGAGCTCACCATCCTCAGTGGAGGAAAGATAGCCTCTTTAATAAATGGTGTTGGAAAAACTGGATATCAACCTGCCACAGATTAAAATTAGACCCTTATCTTTCGCCATGCACTAAATTAAAATCCAAATGGATTAAAGATCTAAATATTAAAACAGAAACATTAAACTTGCTGGAAAGTAAGTTAGGCAGAACTCTGGAAGACATTGGTATAGGAAAAGACTTTATGAACAAATCCTCAGTAGCACGGGAACTAGCAGA